CTCAGGGAAAGAGCCATCCCCTTAAATAATACAGAGCGGGGGTCAAACTGATGCTGGGACCGGTAAAGTCCCCTTATTGTTACACTATTCTAGAGATGGTTGCGGATATCCGCTATCTGCTGGCGGATACCCGCCAGCGGTTGCGGATTTGGGTGCAGATGCACCCTTCCCCCTGAAATACTGGCGGGTATCTGGGTATCCCAAGGGATACTTGGTGCCAAGAGGCCACACTGCCAGGAGGAATCCCTCCCGGCGAGTTGGTTTTTAAACCAGCTTCGTTGGGAGGGGTTCCTCCCCAAGAGCTGGTCTGTCTACCAGCTTGTTGGGAGGAACCCCTCCCGGCAAGAATCTACAGGCCAGCTTGCTGGGAGCGGTTCCTCCCGGTGAGCTGGTTTTTAAGCCAGCTTGTTGGGAGGGGTTCCTCCCAACGAGCTGGATTGTGTACCAGCTTGTTGGAAGGAATCCCTTCTGACAAGCTGGTACACAGACCAGCTCGTCAGAAGGGGGTCCTTCCGACAAGCTGGTTTAAAAACCAGCTTGCTGGGAGCGGTTCCTCCTGGCAAGCTGGTTTTTAAACCAGCTTGTTGGGAGGGGTTCCTCCCAAAAAGCTGGTACACAATCCAGCTCGCCGGGAGAGGTTCCTCCCGACAGTGTGGCCTCTGCCCCTCTAGGCCGAGGGGACCAGGGTTTTTTTTTTTTTCTTTTTTTTTAATTTAAAAAAAAAAAAAAACCCTCTCCTGGAAGAGCCGGCTGCCTTGCCGCCCATTCAGAGGCCAGGTATCCGCGGGTATCTGCGGGCGGATGCGGATGCGGATGTGTCTTTCCACTGAAATCGTGAGCAGATATCCGCATCCGCGCAGATATCCGGATTCAATGCAACCATCTCTACACTATTCCTTGGGGGAAAGTGTCAGGATATTCAAAGCATGCTAAATGTACATGTGTTGAATATCTTTTATTTCAGAAAATACACACAAGGGAGATAAACAGAATAATCATCTCTTGGATACACCCAAGAGATAATCATCCTTTTCAACTTGATTATAATTTTCATGGAAGAGGTAAATTAATAAAGAGGTGAATCTTTATTAATTTACAGAATAATTATTAACATGAATAATACATATAATAATAAATAACATTAATGAATACTTATTATGTAAACCAAGGGGGTGACATTCTTTTATAGACACCTGGGATAGTGTCTCAGTGTCTGACAGGTAGTATCTCTTTTTGTCTACTTCCTCCTGTCACATACTAGGGGGTATAAAATATAGGCAAATCCACCATTATTTAATAGGGGGTATCAAATACAGCCAAATCCACCAATTTTTAATTGACTGGTTTTGGGAAATCCACCATTTTTTGAACATGTTGGTTCTTCACTTGACCCCTTTGGAGGTCCATTGATGCAAAATTTTATTTTTGGAAAATTGACTGGTTTCTAATGGTGTATTTCTTGGATTTGATACCCCTGAATGAACTGGTTTTGTAAAACTCACCATTTTTAAACATGTTGGTTCTTCATAACACCCCTTTGGGGACCCACAAGTGAAAATAAAATATTTTTGGATAATTGACTGGTTTCTCCTGTTGGGTTTCTTATATTTTATACTGCCTACTGTGACACTCATGTATGTAGTTACCTCAGGCTAGCAGAGGTGGAAGGATGCTCTCCTCATCCTTCCGTTTCTCTCTTCTTTCTTCATTCTTTTGTTGCTCTTTTTCTCATGAAATAGATCCTCACATTCTTTGTCTTCTGTCTGGCCTAGTTGACCCGAACAATATGTGAAAATAAATTACAAAATGGAGACAATTCAGATCAGAAAGGTTTGTCAAGGTTACACCCTGGGTAAACCTCCCAGGAAACAAATTTAAAATTTCCAAAAAAAAAAACATGAAAAATAAGGCATAAAAAATTAAATACAAAGAATGCGTCAAAACACAGAAACCACATCTGCTGTGTGCAGAAAAAGCCGCGTCAAAACGTGGAAAACCCACGTTTTATTATTAAAGCCCTACAAATGATACTGCAAATAATTATGGCAAGATCTTTGCAACTGTTGTAATTAACACAATGAGACTGAGTCTTTGAGAGACAGGGAAAGAAGCAACTGGAAACAAATCTTGAGAAAAAAGACTTGCAAGGAAAACTCAAGGTCTGAAGCAGCGGTGGGCCGCTACGCTACACTACACTACAGGGCCATTTAGTGTTAGCATAGCGGCACAAAAGGTGGCCCTTTTTTGTGTAGTGTTAGCGCGCCACTACCACCGCTACGCTACGCTACTTTGTAGCAGCACTAACAGATTTTTTTTTCTGTAGTGTTAGCATGCCACTACCAACACTACGCTGTGTTATGCTACGCTACAGCGCTTTTAGTGGCAAAAAAGGCTAAAAATACGCTAAAAAGCAATGTAACGCAGAGTAGTGGGCGCTTTTTTGCACCCTGTCTGTGTAGTGTTAGTGGAATTCCAAATTTTTGCGCTAACACTACGCTAACTGTTAGCACACTGCTGTGCCCTTTGCGCGTAGTATTAGCGCAGATGTGGCGGAATTCTGCTACGCTAAAGTTTAGCGGAATTCCGCTAGGTTACACTACACTAAAGTTGAGCGGAATTCCGCTAGGTTACGCTACACTAACATTACGGTTAGTGCAACTGACCCAAAAAGAGGGCTAGAGCTGCTAGTGTGTGTGGGGGAAAAGTGCTCACGCTACAAGAGGTTGTATGCTGTAGAGACCTCAGGGAAAAGTGCACAGAGAGCAGATGATTTTCATTTCTAACATCAGAATCTTGTTTATCTATTACAACTGAGAGGGGCCAGGTTGTGGGACAGAAGGAGAAATGAATATGCAACTGGAGGGGAAGTGACAGGTGAAAGGAGTGACATGAGAGGAGATCAAAGAGAACTTGAGATGACATGACTGTTAAATTCCAACAGTATAAACCAGTTGCACCAACTTGTTTGGCCATTTATTGTTGGAAGTGCAAGTGTGGTAATGATTTCCTTTGGTGTTTTCTGAAATGAATTGACAAAATCACCTGGATTTAGGACCTGCATCTTTACTTTAACCACATTAATAATATCTGTTCTGGGAGTAGTGATCATCCCTCTCCTGGGAGCCATGTCTGTCTTCATTTGAATACTGCCTGCTTGACTGGAGGATAAAATGTACATCAGTTTAAAATGTCTCTCTTGGCCACACTTGAATTGGAAGATATTTCTCACACTTTCTCTTCCATATTGGATTTCATTTTGATATTGTTCATATTGTGCTTTCTTAACTTCTCTCTCTTGTAGCTGTCTTTGTTTCTTACAAGTTGGGCAATCCTGACCACTCCCACATCTAGTATGATAGTAAACATCACATTCAGAACATTTATATTTATCTGAGTTTGAATCTAACTCTTCATGGCATTTTCCACACTTTCCAGAGAGCTTTACTCTCTAAATTTATTAATAAGCCATTATTGAAAGGAAGCATCAGATTTTGAACCTGCTTGTATGATAGCAAACCACAAGCAAATGACTAACAATACTCTCCATACGTTTTGTGAGTTGGTGACCAGATTTCATCTGGGCATTTTTCTCTACAGAAGCTGGCAAGTTTGTATCAGACAAGAATAATTCAGTTAGTTTTTTACGAGGTGATTCTATGGGAAAATGCAGACACTAATTCACCAATCTGATCAGATGGATGGATAATTGCTGTTTCAGCCAGTACTTGAGAAAGCTTTCAGTCCAAAGAATAAATAGTTAGTAAACATGAAGCAGCCTAGCACATAATGCAAACAATCATAGAATTAACTAACCATAGCAGCCACTAAGATGTAAATTGACAACATTTCTGCAAGAAATATTTTAGATACTAAATTGCTGAATCTGTTCCAAAATCTCTAAGGGTAATTGTGGGGGTAATCAAGTTTGCAAGGTACTTCTCAGAAGGCAGGTTTATATACACAAGAATAGCTTGTCAAGGTGACCATGAGGCACAGCTCAAGGTTCCTTTTTCATGCTGGTTGATGTTGCAGTGGTCAAAAGTGAAACTTTTGCATAGCCCCAAACTATCAAAGTATAGATCTCTAGTTTGCAGCAGTTGCACACGCAACCGCAGCTCAATGTCATAAAATTTGAGTCTGATAAGAGTGAGGATGGCCGGGTCAGGATGAGTCGGAAAATTCTTAACCCGCGCCGACGTAGTCGACTAACTTAACAACAAGTCCCTCGATCGGAGGGCCTGGTGCCAGGCTGGCGCAAAGCGCCCCTCGCGAAGCGAGCCTCCGAATTCAGAGGCTCGCTTCGCGAGGTTCCCCCGGCCCTCTGGTCGAGGGGATTATGTTAAGCTAGCGTAGTCGAAGTAAATGCGGTAGGATAACATTTTAATCAAAAAGTATGGGCCGCCTCAAGGTAGCCCATGTTCGTATTTCAATTCAGTATACACAACGGGTTTCCGCTCTGTGGGCCTGCGGTGTGCACAAAGCAGTACACACGTCCGGTTGTTAGTCTGGGCCGCCCCGTCTTCCGGCGAATTCATGGTTGTCCAGTCGGGCTAGACCGATCGATGGCCTGCAATTTACAATACCCTTGTATACCAGCAGACATCACGACGGGTTTTTTGACGGGGTGTTGCGTATGACATGAAGAAGAATTTATGTGGTGGGCCACGAATCTGACCACGCGGGGCATGTTAGATATTGAGAACCAACACACTGACAAGCTGGCCCAATCGAACTGCAACCTCCTCATTCAAAATATGCCTTGCAGTTTTCATCGCTTCAGACTCATGTATATACCAGATTTGAATGCCAAAAGTTTAGGTTATCAAACCTTCTGATCTGTGAGTGTCTGAACTCCAAAACACTACGTCTTACAAAGGGCAATGTAGGAATTGTAATCTGAGCAAAGCAGAAAAACAAAGGCAAATGGTTACTCATCTCCCTGGTTGTTTTGGGAGTGAGATCCGCAGACCGATGGCCAGAGTTCATGCTCTTCCAGCGTTTTAAGACTCTGATTGCTTTTCATTTGAACAGCGACCGCATCGCGGCTGGTTGGCAGTGGTTCTTTGGTGAAAATCCTTCTGCAAAACTTGATTCACAACGACTACTAGTACTTGTAAGTTGCATCTGACATCGGAATTGGTGTGAATCTGTGATGGCCAACGGATTTTGATTCCACACACAAACATCGAGATTCTGTAAAAGCTTGTTGTTTTTTTGTTGTTTTGCTACACAAAGTTAAAGAAAAAAAAAAGAAAAGAAAAAATACATGAGATACATAATTAAAAGAGAGAAGAAAAGAGACGATGGATTACAGAGTATGGAGGCACTGGTGTGCCAAAATAATTCAAATGAGCCAACACGATCAATAAATGAAAAAAACCCAATTTTTGAACGAATCAACCCACCAAACTGCCCAAACAAGCTTTGAAACAGCCCTGGATAATGATGTGCTTCCCTGCAGCCCCCTTCAAAGGGGTATCCATATTGTGCTTCTGCAAGCCTACACAGTATTGTAACAGAAACCAGGTAATTGAAGGTTGATACCGTGACCCCACCTGCAGGAGCCTGAAGTGAGAGCTCCAGACAGTATCAACAAGAAAGTTGTCTGATGTGTGCCTTCAAAGCTAGTCCCAGAGCCGATGATCTTGCAAGGCTTGTGGGCCTTCTCAATCTTGCTGAGTCCCACACAGATCTTGACTGTCAGGCTGAGTGATGCCAAGAGCAGAACTCTTCTAGCTACACTAGCTGAAAAGGTAAAATGGGATGTGTACACGTGTGGGTGACACGTGAAAAGTGGGGGAAGTGTGTGTAAAAACAAAAGAAAATAGTAAATAAAAACTGTTAAGTTTTTATTTACAGAGGGGCCTGAGTTGCAGGGGTTTTTTACTGTGCCCTCTAATTCAGGTCCTGAGTTGCAGGGGTGGTACTGAAGTTCTGGTCCTTTATAATAAAGGAGTAAACCCAGAAGAAAGTCTACTACTGAAGAAACAAAGAGATAATACTTACTGGTACTTATCTCTAAGCCAAGGAGGTCTTCAGGAGAGGGGGGCTGTTCTTGAAGCGCTCAGAAAGTTGAGTGAGAGGAGTTGGGAGAGTGCTGGGGAACAGGTGTTGGGTTGAAAGGTTGAAGTTCAGGTTACAAACAGCAGGAACAGGGCCAAAAGGCAGGTTGATACTGGGTGTTGGTGACGGTTTATGCTGGTAAGTAATGATGAAGATGGGGAAACAAAGTTCAGGGGGAAGAAGGGGCTCTTAAGTACCCATTCTGGGCCTCTGGAGGCGAACTCAGGAGTCTCTCTAGTTGCTACAACTCTCCTACTAAGCCTGTGGGAGCTTTTGATCATCTGTAGCACCTGTAGAGCTTGGTTACAGGTGCCAAGGAGATGATGTAATGCTTGTAACCATGTTTACAGGGTGTTCTGACGAAACTGTAACACTCCTGTAGCCTATGTTAGCACTGCATGATGCATTGGTTGATCCTCAAGAGAGTAGTTGTCCCAATTGGGCCAAAAAGGGCCACAGATCATCCCAAACAATTTAATACTGTAGTCTGTGCTCATGTAGTTAAGGTTTCAATGATGTAAACCTTGTTTGTAGATTTTTCCCGAACTGCATGAACCTTAATTACACATGTAGCCCCCTTACAACATGTAGTATGATGTAACTGGAGGGGTCTACAGTGTATTTTGGTCCAATATCACTCAAGGACTACAAAGTAAGTGAAGGAGTAATAATTCAGGGGTACACTTGGTGAGCTACCCTAGGTTATTTTGCATGTAGATTCAGAATATGCAATAATATTCTGAGTTATACTTAAGGTTCAGAAGTTATTAGGAGATTCTGGTTAAAATGTTATTTTTTATTATTTATTTAATTATTTAAATGTTTTTCTGTTGAAATGTTACAATTCAAGTAGACTGTGTAATAATGTCTCTATTATAGTGTTTCAACTTATTTAAATAGTATATTTTATTATTTTAATTGTATGTACATATGTAAGTAATAATATCTCTAATTTATATGTAAAATGCTATGTACAGGCTGGCTCTGATTAGTAGCAGGCTGACATTGACGGTCCCAATGTTGGCAATTGCGGACTAGTACTCTTGGGGTCAAAAAAGACCTTTGTCTCAAGCACTATGTAGTCCTTCACCTCAGCATCGTTCCAGTGCTCCTTAAGTATCCCTTGGTATTTGGAGCATGCAATGTTTTAGTTTCTATTTTAATCAATCTCAGACTAGTTAATCTTTATACTAAGGACAAGAAAAGAAAAAGAAGGACTTGTCCTCTTTATTTTTATCAATACTAGATTATGAATTATCTTCTTCCCGAACTAAATTTCTAAGATTTTTTGTTATATGTGATCTGTGGGAGGTATGAAATATGAGTGAGCGGAGAGATCCCGGATGGTCGAACGGGATAAGAATCGAGGGCACGTGTAGTAATACAAGATCGGGTGAGGTGGAGATAGGTCGGGCGGGGACGGACGCGTGAGTACTTCAAGGCTCATGAGCACGTCTGGAAGGCTATCGTCGTGATGGTCGAGCCCTTCGAACCTCCGAAGGAGAAACAGGCACGCGGGATTTTGGAGTGAAACTTGAATCCTATTATCATTCAAAAAATGTTTTCAGAAATGATTTGAAAAGGTCAACGAAGAAACAAGGACGGAAAAAAAGTGGAGAAGACATACCGATGTTGGGAGAGACGAATTTCTTGATGAGCTCTTCTTCGGTCCAATTGCATGAAGTGATTAGGAAAATCCCCCCTGGTTTGACCAGCAAGTCGAATATCTTTTCTGGATAAATCGTTTCTAGTTTTTTCCCGTCAATTGTCTCCTCAGATAAACAGATGGCATCGAAAGTCTATGAAAAAAAAAAAAAACCATGGTCAACGAGGGAAAAAAAAAAACACGGTCAACGAGGGAAAAAAAATGGCGAGATAAGAAGAAGCAGATGATGATGATGATGGTAGAAGGAAAGGTATTTTTTTGTGTATCTGGAGGGGAAAGGAGGAGAATGATTTTTACGCCTTTATCGGTGATCAAGTCCCAACCCTTTGAGCCGGATATTCTAGTGCGATGGGGCGGCTCGATAGTGTCTCTGAGGACATCGCGGACCTCAAGACGGAGACCTTGGATGCCCTTAGCGCGGGCGATCTGGGAGGTGAGTTCGATCGAGCTAGCCGAATAGTCGACCCCCGTCAGACAATCGACCGAGTAACCGCCCTGGGCGAGGAGGAAGAGGAGCTGTCCGTTACCGCATCCGACTGGCCGGAAAGAAGTTTCAGAAACAAGCTGGGGTTAGTCTAATACTCACGATCTTTTCTTAACAAATCTGTGAATGAACGGGGAAACTGAGGAGGAAAGGAGGAGGCTTTTACCGTCGAGGATCTGGGAGTCTGTCCGACCATTACCCAGTGGGCCTGGTAGCTGACCGTCTTCATCCGTTCCGGTGGAGAAACTGAGCTTTGTCGGGGTCATCGGCGAGGGCAAGTAGCGTGCAATCCAGTCCAGGATCTCGTCCGAGCTGGCCTCCCCAAACCAGACCTCACCCTCGTCGCCAGCCTCGCAGAAGTTCGAGAGCTCTCGGCCGTAGTTGTCGTCCCAGTAGGCCTGCGTACCCAGCCGCGAAGGCACCAGACTTTCTACCTCTATTGTCCCTCCATCGTCCGTCATGATTTTCTCTTTCTTTGCTTGGTCGTTGTTTTTCGGCTTTGCTTTGGGTTCCGGATTCTAGGTCCTATCTATACATGTATCTGGTGTCTTCTCCGGTCCCGTCGATCGTCGTGCCCGTGAGTCTCCAAAAACAGACTTTCCTTATATGATGAGAGGTTTGTTATAATCTTCAAGGTGTTTCTGACTTTGATGGGTATTCAATCCTGGATGGGTTTTTTACGTAAATAGTTATTTGCTATCAGTATCCAATCATACACGTTTTTTTTTCAACTTGCATCTTGGGCAGTTTCTGGCAGTTTACATACTTATGTGTTTCCTTTTCCGATACACAAAAAGCTTGTACAAACAGTTGCTCAACAAACACAAATCAGATTATGCAACATTTATTTACATCGGCATCTGTCAGCATACATACCCCCTCAGCTTAGCTGTGCTGATTTACGTGCGTTCTAAGGCTTTTTGGGGAACTGTGCAAATTTAAGAACCTTGGGGAAGGTTGATCAAGGATCACAAAATCTGATTCTAGCATCTGAAATTAACTTCATGAAGTCCATCACTCCTACTTTTATTTGGAGTAGTAACAACGGTGGGCCGCTACACTAACCGTAGCGGTTAGTGTAACGTAACACAGCGGAATTCCCGTTAGCGTTAAGCGTAGCGTAGCGGAATTCCGCCACGACACCGCTAACGCTACGCGTGTGGGCCACAAAAAAGGGCCCACTACGCTGCGCTACAGCCGTTTTTAGCGCTTTTTAGCCGCTTTTTCTGCTAAAAGCGCTGTAGCGCAGCGTAGCGTAGCAAAAATGCGCTACAAAAGCGCTAACACTACAATATTTTGGCGCAAAAAAAGCGCCGCTACGCTACGCTTTTTGGGCCAAAAGCGTAGCGGCCCACCGCTGGTAGTAAGAAACTGGTCACTCAAATTGGTTTCATTTGTGCCAGCTCCCCTTTGAATAGCACCTTCCCAAAATGGAAGGGACTGGTGAAGTGAGATTTTGTCATGTTACACATCTCCCTTAAAGTTAGGCAGCTGCTGCTTGGCTCACATTTGGGTGATTCACTCCTCTTGGGACCAATGGAGGACTTCCCGTCGCAATTTAGAATGCTTTATAGACCTCCCTCAGTCCTAAATTAACAACACAATCAATATTTCAACCAGCTCACATGAGAGCTGTTTCTGGAAGGCTTCAGAAAAAATGTTTTTTTTGATGAAAAAAATAGATCTAAGGGGTGTAAATTGACTTCTGGGAGGGTCGTAGATTGCAACGGGAAGTCATCCATTGTCATCAATAGGGTGACCAGTTTGCATGCATATGATGATATGCATACCTGCAAGAGGAGAAATGTTTGAAAACCTGAACTTAGTATCAACCCCCCCCCCACCCCACCCCAGACACATCCACAATATTATTCTGTTCTTTTACCCATCAAGGCTGAATATCTTTTTTATTTTTACCATCAATACCAAGAGAGCTGTTTGAATTCAAAGGTATCTAATACTGAATGTTTAGATTAAATCCAGAATCTATTAAATATGAGAATGCACATGCATTTTGGCCCGCTAGAATATTCAGAAAACTGCTTGTATGATTTTAATCTTGTCTATAATTCCACATAAAGTGTACAGTTGTTCCATAATGGAATGGAATTGTCGAGTGTGGATTTCTCCCATTTCCCACTTGATGAGTCCCCCGTTCTGCCAAGCTTGTTTTGAGTTTGGTAGATACTTGCAACAACATTCTCCTGCTGCTGTTCCTCCAGTGATTGGGGGGACTGTTTAGAAAGTTTAATACTGAAGCTGTACAGTCATCTCATGTACCTTCGGCCTTAGGAACAAGGCCTAGAAGATACATCAATCCTTACGCAAAGTACCTTGCGGTCAACCTCTGGAATCAACACACGGATATTGAGCAGATCAAGAAGATACTAAGAATCACCTTTTTGCGCAGTTTGTTACATCAACTCACCTTCACATAAGCACAGGGTCTGTTGTGAGGAACCCAGATGACTACAAACCATTTGGACCGTGAGGCTCAATGTCAGAAGATATACAAGAAGAATTGTAACTATACCACAGAGAATATCCAACAATTTATTTGGATGAGATCCAGGAATGGCTGTTGGAGGAGCATGATATTGCTACATGCATCTCCACCATAGATCAGACTCTGCGTAAAAAGATGAAAATTAATTTGAAAAAGAACCATCAGGTCAATTCCAAGCAATCAGAGTTGAAGATGGCTGAGTATCTTGCTCAAGTGGGCACCATGCCAGCTAAGCTCATGGTTTTTCAGGTGAGGTTGCTCTTTGTTCTCAATCTAGCATTGTTTGGTATCATTGCTAATGCTGAATCAAATGCAATCAGATGAATATTCTATATGCCGTAATCTAAGGGATGTGCTCCTTCTGGAAAACTAAGTTACCAGCAAACCAAACAAGTACTCAAATGCTAAGCAATACTCGGTACTTCCAGGAATATCATTCCATGGTGTTCTAGGAATTGATATCAAGGAAAATTCATTCAAACATCCAGACTTTGAATAATTATTGAAGCATACTCTGGTGAGGAAAAAATTCACTACACAATCTTTTGACCAGAAGGAATAGGAATTATGTAATTCTTAATTTTTTAAAGTTACCAAGTCTGAATCCCTTCCCTGGAGTCAACTCAGTGTTGCTTATCAATAATTGCTCTGTTAGCCACGGTGGGAATGTCCAAAAGCTATGTGATGAACATGGTATGTTAAATTTAGTGAAATTGATCATTGTAATGTCTTAAAATATCTAACAACTGAACCCCAACAGTTGTAAGATAAATTTACCTCCCACCTTACTGGCCCAAACTTAACCCCATTTAAATGTGTTTTTCAGTTTTAAATTGACATTTGCGCTGCTCAAATATTTTATTGAATTCAGATGATGAGATCACATCCATTTATCATGCTACTGCTATCATCATGGATGAGAGATTGTGTTACAAAGAGTATAAAAGCAGTGTTTATCTTGTCTGATAAGATGGACTGGGTCAGAACAGGAGATAGTGGAAAGGATATGTTAGCATTGCTTTGAGTAATGATAACAGAGACTAAGAAACTTCAGAAACAAGAAAAAGAGAATAGAATACAGTGACCCCGCCTTGTAAGCATACACGATATAAGCATAACCGTGTTGTAAGCTTAGCATAAATATTGATTTCCAGCAACCATTTTCTTGGTTTTGCAATAAAATTACCTCCATAAGAAGCATACCTCCATGTAAGCATAGGATTTGTGTCAACCATCCTTATGCTTACATAGCGGGGTCACTGTAAAATAAAACAAATGAAATGACTTACCTGGGTCAGAACAGGAGACAGTGGAAAGGATGAGGAAAGGGAATCCTTCCACGCACTCAGGTCTGGCCCAGGTGTACTACAAGATCTGTGACAGGTCTGTGACAGGTATGTAGCACATAAAATGAAGAGAAAGAGTATAATGAAAATGACTACTCAACATTGTCTAAATATAATAGTTTCTTCTCATATAAATCACCTTGGCTACATTCTAGTTATTTTAATCATTCAGAGTCTTCAGCTTCAGATTGGATGGTCTCATAATGATCTTCTTGGTGCAAACTGGATTGAGATTGAGCCTTCAGATGTTCATTAAATCTCTTGACATTATTGCACAGACTGGCAACTAATACATGTGGAAATTGGTATTCATTCAGGAGCAAGTGGACAACCAAATTGGTTGCAAAGAGGTGGTAGTTGTTGATAAACTGCTTGTGACAGAACCTACTGAGTTCTTTTTAGCATATATCTGGGTACCAGACCCCTTCACTAACATAAGGTGGGTGGGAGGGCTGCATATTTTATAATAAATATGAAGAATTGAAAAAATTTACTACAGCTATTTCGGAAAGGGTTGTCCAGTTGTCTCTCAAATTTTTTTTTTTTTTTTTGAAAATTTTTAAATTTTTCTTTGTACTGAACTACAGCCGAGGAGGTACAGCTGTCATCGATAGTTCAGTTCTGACAGGTCCAGTTCAGTAAAAAAATAAAAAATAAAAAAAATAAAAAAATAAAAAAGATTTCGCGAGTCCAAGTGGACAACCCTTTCCGAAATAGCTGTATATACACTTTCAAAAGTACTTCAAACCCAGTACTGGATATGCAGTAAAAAAACTGGATATGCAATATTTTTTCCTTTTTCTTGTTAAAATAGTGTGAATAACAGCACATCCAGTTTCATTTTACCACATATCTAGTACAGGATATGAAGTAATGTTGAGATAGCTAGTGGAACTAAGTGAAAAAGAGAGGGGAGGTACCCGCGGTACCTGCCACAAGTACCGCCGGTACCCACTGGGGGGTGCCTGGTGTGGTACATGGTATCTATTTTCTTGAAAAAATGAACAGGTACCTGAGTACGAACAAATGATCTTCAGGCAGTAAAATGACCATCTGTGCCAAGGCAATTAGTGGCATGTTTGATTTGATTTTGATTTCTTCATTTTTGTCTCTTAAACAATTACTGACTTTTGATCCAGATCAATAAAGAAGCTGGAGTCAATCTTAAACACCCACCCTCAACTCTCACATATAGAAAACTCAAAAAGAAGAAAAATAATGATCCTCCTTCCTTGGTGACCTGCAACCATCACAATCAACAACAAGGCCAATCATCTGAATCTGAAGGTGATCTCAATGAATATTACAGGCTAGGCAAAGATGTTGCCCTCAGCAAGTACATCAAATTCTGTGAATACACACCCGCGGTACCTCCTGTTCTTTTCCCAAAAACAGACACCTGGCACCTCCTGGAAGGTGTGCAGCGGGTGCTGGAGGTACCCCCCAAGCGGTACTAGGTACCTAGCAAGGAGTAAAGCAGAACAATCTCTAGTACTGCCTGTGAGGATGATCCCTTCATTTTGATTGATTGTGTTGTGGTAGATAGGGAAGCCTTGATACAAATTGCCAGCCATCCAATGAGTATTATGCAGATTTTGCACAGTTTCTG